TGCCAATCAGTGGAATTCAATCTTTTTCTTAAGAGGGACCAGCGCGGATGACGGTAGAGGCGTCGAGAGACGTGCTGAGGACACAAACACGTGTATCCCTCTGGGCAGAATGTCTCTGGCTTCACATAAGCCAGCGGCTGGGATTTAGAGGGTATGACCACAGTATGTGCTGCCTTTTTTGTTGTTGCTGTCCAATCTATGTGAAGTGGAGGGAACACCTCCGGCAAGAGAAACATCTTGACGTATTCTCCAGCGACAAAACCGGGCGTGTGAGGTTATTTCGTATTTGTCAATGTTACTATGGTGATAAGGAGGGTGGAGAAGGCTCTCGTCATGTAGCTTGAGAGGAGGTCGGCCCCCCCTTCTCCTCCTCGGGGCGCCCCTCACTGCGAGGCCTGCGGTGCTTGAACGCTGAAGGTCATGGGTGACACCTGTTTCCCGTCTCATCTCCCAACATCAAGTTGACTTGCCGGGTCAAGTTGGGCTGGGAGTGGGGGGGGAACCGCAGCAGAGGACAAAACCTCCTGTGTTCACTTCCTGCCTCAAGCAAGATAAAGAAAAAAAAACGAGAAATGGCCAAGTTTGTCTATTGGGATGGAATATGAATTCAAAACTGGCTTTTGAGAGGGAAAAATGAGTTAAAGCCTCAGCTAACCAAAAGATGAATCCACTCAATCCATACCAATGAATCTGTCTGCCACAAGTGTTATCAAATGAATTATTTCCCGCAACTCACGATGCTTCATTCAAAATATTTGTTCTTGTCGTGGATTAGATTCAAACTTGTCCTGAAATGTACACAGGGCTATGCTTATGGAACACAACAAAAATATAAAACACACAACTCCCCTCCCCTCGCCCCACTGATATACGACATTTAGCACATTGTCTCACGATGCTGATCAACTGTCTCTGGTCGCCTTGCTTTCTGGATTTCCAAGCGACAGATGGCTGTCGATGCAAAGAATGGTTAGTGTTCGCCCCCTTGTGGAGACAAATGGCACTTCAGCGAGGCAGTCCAGAGAGTGCAGTTGAAAAATCTTAAATATTCGAGGAATGAATGCTTAACCCCCCCCCCCCCCCCCAACACACACACACACACACACACACACACACACACACACACACACACACACAGTAAAAATACAAATACATTGACATCAGATCATATCAAGGCCCATATCAAGACCCATTTCTTTGTAATAATCAGTGTCGTGGTGGTCCACTCACCTGCCTTGGACGCCGGCAGTGTCGGAATCAGTTCCAGCTCAGCGATGTTGTGAATGCGAAGTAGGGGTCATCTGTTGTTCGCCTCCGTGTGTTTCTTGCGACTGGCTGGCGATCGGTTCAGGCTGTTGTCCGTCCCTTGCCCCAAGTCAGCTGGCATTACACGGGGCAGGTTGAAATGACATGACAGGCACACATTTTGTTTTACAAATTACTCATGTTCATAAATGTACACCCGTATCCCTGGACAGCGATAATATTGAAAACAAGCAGTAGAAAATCAGAAAGTCATCCGCCTCAATTCAATTTATGAATTCGAATGCATTTCTCGACAGGCCCTCCCGGCCTGACCTTTGTGATTGCGTCCATAAGCCTTCCACATGACTGACGGTGTCGGGTTGACAGCCCTTTGCGCAAAGTACATTGACTTGTTTTTCAAAATTGGGCAATTTTTTTTGCCTCGTTGGATTATTCAAGATTCCGCAAACTTGGCGCACGGGAGGAATTGATGGATTAGGCCGCTAAACAGCTCATTTCACGTGGCGAAGTCTCATCTGACTCTGTGAGCGGTGGCCGACTTGAGACAGAGAGACAGAGTCCATTAATCAGGCCCTCCAGCCCTCTCACCCTCCGGATGCTCCCGCAGAATGGACATCTGTGGCCAAGAAATGAGCCTTGAAAGTGAAATTAACGAGCGCGTTGGTGAGATAATTACAGGGAACAAAATTATTGATCAGCGCAGCAAAGTCTTCAAAGCGTCTGACCTGTGAAGCCTTGCCTCGTAAAGTTGTCCGAAAATATGGCGAGTGAGGTAATACGACACCAAATGTGTTCTCGCCCCAATCGCCATTCCGGGAGATTGTTTGAAATGTGTCTTCAAATGGGCCTGGAATCGCAAACGTGAGGGAGAAAATGGCGTCCGCTATCAGAAACAAATCCAACGGTTGCACATATTTTGTCGCCGTTTAAATGAGAAGGCATGTTGTCACCGTTTACCAATATTCATATTCTTTTTTGACAGAGAAAAACATTTTGTAAAGACCTTGCTTTGACGAATAAATAGTAACGGGGTTTGCCTGCTTTTCGAAAAGCATAAACTCTAATCATTTAATCAAGAGTGGATACACGAATTACATTTCATTTCATGTATTCCCTCTTGAAACAAGATCCATGAAACGATCATCTTTCCATTAACCCATGTAGTCGTGAGACTGGTTTTGAAATACCGTTTCAGCAATTCTTGAGTTTGCAAATGATTTTTATTGAAGTTATTCAAATGGGATTCATGGCGTGGCTGAGTCACCTTCGACATTTTCAAACGATCGCCTCGATCACACCCGCCGCCCGCCCGCCCGTCCCGCCTCACCTTCTCTGCGGAGAGAATGAGTCTGCAAGAGGGTGAGCGGATGAGAGACGGACAGTCGGAGTGACTGCTTTATTTTGCTGCGATGAACATGAAAAACGACGCGCTGGGAATCATTGAACGGCTTCCGCGACCCACCGATCCATCTGTTCTCAGATCGATGGACAACGTACAGACAGAGTGGGCCCGACCTTCCCCATCGGTATCGGAGTGAATCCCTTTCTATCTCTGAAAATTAGATATGAGGGCGACGCCGTTGCTCTCCTCTACCATCCGCCGCCATACACCGACTCATAGTGGACGATTGCTCTCGTGCGACTGCTTTCGAAGTGGAGATCACGTTTCTCTGTTATTTCTGTGCACCGAACATCAAATGCCGCACGGGGCTCTTGTGTGGGATCGGGGGGCTTGTTCGTTTCTAATAGATCCTTGACCTTCGCAGCTCCCCGACAGCCTTCTGACATGAGTCCTTTGTGGTCACGTCCGCCGCCCGGGCTCCTGGAATGCAAATTTCATGTCAAGACATCAAATGGCGCGTTGATCAAAGGTCAGCCCTCCTTTCTGTAGGTGTTTGATATCAAAATTTCTATTTCATCTCCAGCTGTCAAGGGCTGTTAGAGCTCAAGCGCAAAAGATGGACGGAGGGAAATGAGAGTTGGAGAGTTAGTAGGAAAGAGAGGAAAATCAACTGCTTGAGACTTGGGGGATGATTGTGAAGATAAACCGTACAATTTACCAGAGAACAAAATTAACATTTATTCTGCAGATTTTTATATGCGCATATATTCACCGTTTCATATGTTCCATTATTCTGTGCCGAGTTTGTGTGCGTGTGTGTGTTTGTGCACGTGTGTGTGTGTGTGTGTGCACGTGTGTGTGAGCCGATGAGGAAATCAGCCCTTGACATGTGCCGTTGGACAGCCCAAGGAGCAAAGACGACTTGAATTTCCACCGTCCCTTGTTTATTCTCAACAAAAGTCAGTCCCTCGGCTTCGCCACGCGCAATTTAAGAGCACAGCGGGTACACCCGACCGAGTCCGTGACCTGCAAACAAAAAAAAAAAATGTGTTCCCCACAAAGCTTCAGGAAAAGGTGACCAACAGACATAATAAATTAAAGAGGCGTAATACAAATAATATGAATGGACAGTGACAGTTTCGTCATGTTTTCTGAAATATTGGAGGCAAGCGAAGGAAGACGTTCGAAACGAAGCTGTAGCCAAGGCTGAGTCCCGCTCCTTCATGTAGTTACCGCGAGACTTTTACGCCCGCGCATTTAAGGTACAGTATCGCGTTATTACAGCACCTTGCTGGTTTCCGAGTTTGTGATGTGACTGACGCGTGTCGCGTCGGTCACATCAGCCAATCGAAGGAACAGCAGCATGCAGCCAGTCTTTACAGTCAGACGGCCTGTTCAAGAGAGACGCACTTTATTCAGGTGAGTGTCATTATAAATCACTCGGCAATAAAACGTATTATCCTGCCGGATCTGCAACTCAACTCAACTGTATTTACAGAGCACTTTCAATGGATCTGCAACTCAACTCAACTCAACTGTATTTATAGAGCACTTTCAAACAGCCATCGCTGCATACAAATCGCTGTACATGGAGCAATTTAACATATACAACAAACAGGAAAGCAAATCGGTAATAAAGACGGTAGAAAGCACCGAACAGCAAAACCAAGAACAAATCTAAGCAAAAGAGTTATCTGTCCTCCATTCAAGCGCGCTCAACTCATTTTGATTGTTTTGTTTATGTTACACTATTGGGATATCACTGAAGTGTTTGTGAAGATTTTTTTAAGACGAACACGTGTGACCGCACGTCAGGGATGGCTTTGCTAATCGCTTGACTCACGATTTTGACAATGTGTCTGGACAGCATTAGCTAACGTTGTCTGAGGCGATCTGTTATCAATTACTTTCTAACCTTGTTGATTTTGACCAAGCCACTCAAAGGAAATTGACGCGGAGCAGCAATTTTGTTTCCAAACCACTATCTGAAGCCAACCCCATCATCAAACCAGCCAAGAATGTACCTTGCTTAAAGTCATCGGGCTGAGCTCCTCAGATCACCAAGAAAATTGATGGATGGATGAACAATATTGCACACCTTTGCCGCACACTAAATCGTTGTCTATGATGTCACTAATGAATATCCTTGTGCTTACACACTTGAGGAACGGATTTCAAGTTCAAATGTTTGCCTGATACTGTATACAGTTTAGCGTTGATGGCCCTTCAATACAAAACTAAATGTAAGGACTTTCTTGCAATCAAATCACTTATTGCACTGACTTTTTTGGTGATATTACAGTGTATATATATATATATGCAGTACTCTCAACGGCGAATACACTAATGTGTATCATGTTCTCATTTAGCCAATCAATTTTTTTGTCCTATTTTAGATAGAAAGATTGTGATTGGCTGTTACGCTGGCTTCCCGGCGTCCGATTGGATCCTTCTTGTTTCCGGGGCTCCACCGTGCACTCTGACGTGTTTCGGTCTGCCCTGCTGAGACAGACTGGAGAGAATGGCTGCCAGTGCAGGTTAGCAAAAAAAAATCTTAATCGTTTTATGTACTAACCAGACGTAAATAACACGGTCAAGTTATATACTGTGCGGCTATATGCTTGTAGACTTCACTGTCAATATGTGACACGTTGGGTTCTTGCTAAAAGGAGGCCGTGCTGTAAACGACTCCTCAAGAGTGTTTGACTGTCGCTCGCTTGGCTTTGCGGCTAACGTTAGCCGCTGTGGCTAACCGTCGGCCGGTTAGCTTGCTACCTACAGCTGATTGTGTAAACACTTGTTCGTGACTCCAGACAAAGCTTTGAAAGTTCAGGCGGTCGCGTCGTTCAGCGCCACTAATGACAGACACTCCGCCTCTTATGTTATGTTGAAACTGAATTTTATTTGGGGCTAGAAGCATCTGGAGTTGTTTGTTTAATCATCGAATTATATCTGGTGAGGCTTGAGGGATGGCATGCTAAATATTAGCTTGGGGGCTGCCGTCTGCTAAAAGTTCAGCGTGGATGTTGACCAGGGAACGTTCATAACTTATCACCTCGGCTTTTAATCGACAGCGACCGCCTATGACGTGACTTGTGATGGCAATTGGAAAAGTTGTAGTTCAGCAAAGGTGGCGTCCTTCCTCCGCACCGGAGTTTTCGGTGAATTCGGTCAGCGAGCTAGCTACCATCCGCCGCTGTGTTTTGCAATCCGCTCAGTTCAACTCTTTGTCCTGTCAAGTCGCGAGCGTTGCTCAACACGAGGTGTGTGTTGTGAAAGCCCCCCTCCCCCCCAATAAATATGAGATCACAAGAGTCAGGCACGGTTTCCCTTTAGATTCCACCAACGTGGCTCTACTCGTGTGACAAGAAACGTGTTTACAAATGGCATTACCATAGGGAAAACCGTCGAAACCTAAAATGGATAGAGATCTTTTTTTTCTCGAAGACCCCACATAGATCAACACAACCAGTTTACCTTTACAAAACACATGATGACCGTGTTTCTGGAAGTATATCCAAGGTCCTGAAATTTCACTCTTAAATCTTCATACCGATTCCCATTACTTACTAGAATGTGCTGTGTATGATTTTTTTTGTTTTTGTTTTGTTTGTTTGTTTTTTGCAAATACATCTCCAAGGTTAATCCGTGTATCATTTGCACGTTCCGTTTTCTGTCGGTTTTGGGAATAATGAATATAAAGTAAAGTGCACAATACAAACTGCATTTTATATTTTAGACAGCAAATATCTTCTCAATTTGCAATGCGAGGGCTTGCAATGTTGAATTGGAGTGCGATTCATAAATGCCTCCGGGTTAGATCCAGGAAATTGGTCAATAATGGAATTATGTGGCAGTAGTGGTATACTCTATGAAGACCAAATGCTTCAGGTAAGAATGCATTAATAAGGGTAAGTAAACACGACTTTTCACAACTAAACTGATTGGGAATGCCATTGATACATTTCAACATGTTTTTTGGGAGGGTAGGGGAGGGGGGCCAGTTGGTGGCCCTATAACACAAGTTTTGTTTCTTGCAAGATGTTGTGCTGATCTTTAATGTCTTCTTTGTCTGCATTTAGAGGTAGGGAAGCTGTTACAAGTTCAGAATGGGACGCCTCCAAGCACCAACTATAACGGGGTAGATGCCGTACACGCCTGCAATATCCTTCAGCAGCTTAAAGCTTTGTACGATGAAGCTCAGCTCACAGACATCGTCGTAGAAGTGGACCACGGCAAGACCTTCTCGTGTCACCGCAATGTTCTTGCCGCAATCAGCCCCTATTTTAGGTACGAACTGGTTACAGTCGTGTAAGTAAATGAAACGCACACGCGCACATGGGCCATTCTCTCATGTTAGCAATAACATATGCCGGAAGAAAAGTTGAGGTTGCGAGCGTGAATCTGGGTGCACTCATTGCATGAGAATTGATGATTTTGCTCTCTTCCCTGTGCCCACGCTTACTAGGTCCATGTTCACGAGTGGCCTTACAGAAAGCAGCCAACGGGAGGTCAGAATTGTTGGGGTGGAATCGGAATCTATGCACCTTGTCTTAGACTATGCCTACACGTCCAGGGTCACGCTCTCCGAGTCCAATGTCCAGGCCCTGTTCACCGCAGCCAGCATTTTCCAGATACCCGCCCTGCAGGACCAGTGTGCCCAGTTTATGATCAGCAGGCTTGACCCCCAGAACTGCATCGGGGTTTTCATGTTTGCGGATGCCTACGGACACCAGGAGCTGAAGGAACGCTCACAAGACTACATACGCAAAAAGGTCAGTTTAACCCAGCCTGTTGATTATCATTTGCATTATCATAAGGCTGGGTGAAAATTCCTTATCACTATATCACAATCCTGGGGAACTGAATCAAGGCTTTCATTAAAAAAAAAAAAACAGGACGATATCATGAATGAACAATATTGGCTCTTTCTTTTTTTTAAATTGAATCAACAGTTTTTATGTCTTAAATTCACATTGTTTACTGCAGCAAACTTCAATTTTCTTGTCTCGAAGAAAACCTAAATTGATTGAGAAAATAAACCTCTGCTGTAAAGTAAACTCAGGACTTTATTGTGAAAATGACATTACTGAGCAGTTGTAAATAGTTCATAGTATATTCATCTACTTTTAATCCCTTCGAGAGTATGACACTTGTCGGAAATGTCAATTGTTTGCCGCCACGCCGGCAATGATTAGCGACTTAGGAGTGGCTCCACAACGTGTTTGGGTGCGGCGGTAAGCAGCCGAAGTTGTTGCTACCAAGCTGCTTCTGCCCAAGTAGCTCCCCCTCGACCTCCGACTACCCGCAGTTGGTGACGTGAGCCCAGCGAAGCGCTTTGGGACCGTCTTGGTGGTTCTGGTTCTTTGTTTTGCAGGTTGCGTCGGCATTTGAGTCTCAAGTTTTGCTCTTCGATAGGTATTAATGAGGCATTGGGTCAGTGGTAGAGTGGTTGTCTCCCAACCCAGAGGTCGACCAAGATACTGAACCCCCAGTTGCTGCGTCATCAGTTGGTAAAGGGGGTCACCGTGTACCAAAGGTAGAAAAGCGCAAGACAAGTGACAGCCCATTGACCAGAAAATAAAAATAGTGACCGGCATATCGTGACGCGAAGCCTCTTACAGTATGTCGAGCTTTGTTATTTCACGTGAACGTGGTGTCATGTCATTCTATATATTTGGAAGAAGCCTTTTCCTGTAATATCTTTGGTCACTCATGCCCCTTCGTGTTCCATCACATCCGCCATCACAAATGCGTAAACCTGTGACAAGTGCTCATGTAGGTGTATGCGGTTCACCGCCTTAAATTGCGTCCTTGTTTTTTTTTCCCCTTGCGCGATAGTTCCTGTGTGTTTCAAAAGAGCAAGAGTTTCTCCAGATGACCAAGGAGCAGCTGGTCAGCATTTTGAACAATGATGACCTCAATGTGGAGAAAGAAGAGCACGTATATGACAGTATAATCCGCTGGCTGGAGCACGACCGGAGTGGCCGCGAGGCCCACCTGGCAGAGGTGTTTTCCCAGTGCATCCGTCTGCCTTTGCTGGACGACGCTTTCCTCAGTCATATACCTGCGCCGTTTGCGTGCGCCCTTTCCCTGTCGAAAGACCCCGTCGAGGCCAAAGCCCGCCTCACTGGCACCAACGGTTGCCCCCAGCGCCTGGGAATGACCGCGTCCGAGATGGTCATCTGCTTCGACGCCGCTCACAAACACTCAGGGAAGAAGCAGACGGTACCTTGCCTGGACACGGCCACGGGGAGGGTGTTCAAGCTGTGCAAACCGCCCAATGACCTCCGAGAGGTCGGGATCCTGGTGTCCTCGGAAAATGACATCTACATCGCCGGGGGCTACCGGCCCAGCAACAGCGAGGTGTCCATCGACCATCGGGCGGAGAGCGACTTCTGGCAGTACGAGCATGCGGGAAATCGGTGGCTGCCGCACGCGCCTCTTTTGCGAGCCAGAATTGGCTGCCGACTGGTACACTGCTGCGGGAAGCTCTACGCGCTGGGTGGCCGCGTGTACGAAGGCGACGGTCGAAACGCATTAAAGTCTGTCGAATGCTATGATGCCAGGGACAACTGTTGGACGGCCGTGAGCCCGATGCCGGTGGCCATGGAGTTTCATAGCGCCGTCGAGTACAGAGATCGGATCTACGTCCTCCAAGGTACGCTAAAGCCGTCTTAGTCAAAGGCATTTTTTTGGGGGGGTGGCTTCAAAACACTCACAGTGCAGCGTGGCTCATGTGTGAGATTGAGATTTTCTCCAGCCCGGACTTGCATTTCCATAAAACACTTGGACTGTGATAGTGGGGGCACAACGGTGAAAATGTCAATTTACTCTTCCAGCTGCCACAAACCCAATTCCAATGCGGCTGTGACGTGGTGTTAGATCGAAATCAAAAATCTGAATACAATGACTTGAAAATCATGTTCAACTTATCTTGAATGGTATAGACTCAAAAGACAAGCTAACTCGTGTTCAAACTGATCAACTTTATTGTTTTTAGCAAAGGTGATGGGACACAGTGGTCTACGGGACTCTTTTGGATCGAGTTGCAGTGACAAAATACAAGGTTGATGATTGGCTAGAAACGCTCAAGAATCACTGAACAATCAGTCAGCCGCCTGTCGGGTGTCATCGGCCACCGAAACAAATGCTGACCGTTGAAAACTCCAAATTGCCTTCCCTTGTCCACAGGTGAATATTTCTTCTGCTTTGACCCTCGTAAGGACTACTGGAGTCACCTTTCCCCGATGAGCATCCCTCGGAGCCAAGGTCTGGCCGCCCTCTACAAGAACTGCATTTACTACATCGCCGGCATCTGCAAGAATCACCAGCGTACGTTCACGGTGGAAGCCTACGACATTGAGAAGAACAGCTGGAGCCGAAAGCGTGACCTGCCCTTTGACCAGGCCACCAGCCCGTACATCAAGGCCATGCCGCTGCAAGGCAAACTGCACCTGTTTGTGCGGGCCACGCAGGTCATGGTGGAGAAGCTCGTGTTCCGCACCAGCCGCAAGAACTCCCTTTACCAGTACGACGACGAGGCGGACGCATGGACCAAAGTCTACGAGACGCCCGACCGCCTATGGGATTTGGGCCGCCATTTTGAATGTGTGGTGGCCAAACTCTATCCGCAGTGTCTGCAGCGGGTGCTCTGATGCGGCTTTTTAGGTCGGTTGCGTGAACCGAATCCGTGAGGCGAGGCGGCGGTGTGGTCCTGCCTGCCTCGTGCCTGGTCTTGCCGTACCTTCTTGGCTTTGCGCCACAAAGACCTTTTGTTTTTTTTAATATGTCTTAAGCCGTCGAACCTTTTGGGTTTGACAAGATCAAAACCGGGGTGCTTTGAAAGATTGCAGTATTTCCCTCCCACCCCCGACCCGCCCGACAGCACCAACTACCCACACCGAGGCTTGCTCTAGAAAACCGTACAATGAATCATAAGTGCAATTACTCAACTTGTTTTGCTTCTTGTTGAGCCACGCTGTTTTCATTTGTTTGCGATACGTAGCTGAGGTTCCACAAAAGCATGTATGTACGTGGCGTGCGCTCTGGAGATATGAATGCTACATCTCAGCAGAAAGTCAAATTCTATATAGACGTATATAAATAGATAAACTATATATATTCATACGGGTAATATGAATAGCATTGTTCATTAGTCATTTGCTGACTCTGAGGTTTGTGTGTGTACCCCTCGCCCCTCAGCATCCCTCCTCCGAGTCAAATCTCTGAAACTTCTTATTTTGAAGAGTAGTTGTGATTTCCCGTCGTTTTTGTATGCTATTTGTGCATCCTCTCCTCTTCCTCCACAAGCGCCAGTGTGTCACACAATCCGCTCTGTGTGGCTTCTGAGCAATTTTCACGTTTTTTGTTTGGAAGATTCCAGTTGCATGGGGGGCTTGTGCCTCCCACCCTTTCAGTTGGTGTCCATTTTGTGTCCCACACACATGAAGACAACTTGTGATGTGTCATGTTGGAATATTCCCTCTCCACATTGGAGAAATGACAAGAGTGAACTTTGTGTCAACACTAAGTGGGAAGTTCAGACCAACGACCAGGTTTACCTCAGAGACTTCAGAGTTATTCCACGAGGAGGAGAAAGAGAGAGAGAAAAAAGGACATTTCCGGACATTTTGTGTTAATGAGGCAACGGCATTGAGCTCTGTATGGCTCGCTTTGTGGAGCGTCATTCGAACCGGATGTAACCAGGCGAAAACGGCCTTCCTCCTAAATGCAAAAACGGCATTTGAGGTCTTTGTAATAACAGAGCTGGATGTTGGAAAGGTTTTTGTTGTAGCAATAATTCTCGGAACTGTGATTAGGCTACATGTCTTGATATGACCTCCATGAAAGTGCGTCGATTGTTTGCGCGTGCTTGTCATATATTGAACTCGCACGCGTTCCACTGGAGCACGGGCGCAGGCTTGAAGCGACCTGCCGTTTAGCGCGATGGCGCTCGAGATGCCGATGTGCCTGTGGTTGCGAGGAGAGCCATCAGACTCGGGAGCGCTCCTCCTCGATGAACAATATCGGAAAACTCAGCATTGCACTGAATCGCTCTCACTTCAACAGTCCTGAAACGCAGGCTCGTTTTGCAGAAGCACCGCTTCGGAAAAGGCCATGAATCCGTCTTGACGTGCCACCGCCGGTGGACTAACAGTTGGTGCTGCTTTCGTTTTTCTTTGTTTTTTGACAATCTTTTCTCAGAAGTAATACCGCAGCCAAGTGGCGTTTTTTTCTGCCCGTGTGACATTTTCAGTACATTACTGTCGATTCCTGTGTCATCTTTGCACTACAACTCAAGAATGGCCCGCACTCAGCAACATTATTACAATCGCCCCCCCCGCAGCCCCCACAAAATTAATAATACTTGCAAACAAAGCATTCATGAAAAAAAGAATTTGACACCACTGTGAAATTAAAACCGGAGGCGCCGACTTTTGCGGCTCCCTGCAGAGTTGATGTTAAAGCTTCATTCACACTATTTACAGTTGGCAAGCGAGCTATGAGGAATTCTCAGGATTTCTACTGAAACAGTACTGTATTGTTCATTTTTGGTCATGTGTATTATACTGTACTATAGGTTTGCTGTACTTGCACAGTTTTTAAACTTCAGTTTCTTTTACAACTTGAAAAATAGATGTTTTGTTTTGTTTTTTTTTGGTTGTTGTTGTCTTCAGTGGCTTTTCCCACTTTTTTGTTGTTTCCTATTTAGTTATGGTAGATTAAACCTGCTCTGAGAAGATTGCCTGCACGAGTAATACAGTTGAATTGGACCCCCCCCCCCACACACACACACACACACACACTGTAGTACAGGACCGTCTCACCAGCATTGCAGATAAACTACTTTTGAAACACCAGTCATGAATGACAGTACAACAAGCTAAGAATGCAACAGTAAATTGAAGCGTCCACGGCCCTGGGCTGCAATACAAAAGCTCATCTCATCAAGTGTGTGTGTGCGTGCGCATCCAGGTGCTATTTTACTCCATTTCTCCTGCTTTTCTCCACTTTGCTGGTTTGTCTTTTCGGGGTTCTGGTTTCTAGTGGTTCGTTGAGCTCAACTGTGAAATTCACGTTGCACATAACTTGAAAATAAAACAATTGAAAGTGAACAGAAGTCCGTTCCTTCTGTCCTCGGTGGACTGCTGACGTAGGCCTCCTCGCTGTTTACGTCATTCTTATGATTATTTTGACTTCGCCTAGTCGTCCATGAACGAGCCCATTTGTTCAAAAGTAAGGAGCGCAAGTGATTGATGTCTGTTTTCAAATCTAAGGCGTAAAATTAAAAAACACGTGGTTAGGGAAAGAAATCCTTACGCACAGTTGCCGCAACTGTACTGGCAGTGGCCAGGCTGGCGGAGCGCGCGGTAGCCGCCAGCCTGCCCTCCTCCTCGCCTCCTCGACCGCCGGTGACACGTGACCCGCAGAGCAGCAGACCAAGTTTGCCGAACTCCCTTGGGCTTCCGCGAACGAGGCTCTTAACAAAAGGTAAGTCCTCACGAAGCCGACTTTTTCTTTCTTTTACGCGGAAGTGCTGCTTGAACCGGTCTAAAATGCATATTCGTCATATTGTCTTGTAGCGATACGTTAGGACCAAGCGGTTCACATCTTCAGTTAACATTGCGGCTAGTCGAAGAGTGTGGAACCACTTTTTTTTTTATTTTTCCAAAACTGTATGTGTACAAATACGTATGAATGCTACACTTAAAAACGTGGCGGTGTGACAGGTCAGCCGTTTCCCCGTGCTTGGCGTGCTGTAACACGAGAAGTTTTTGTTCCCTCTAATCGGTCTCCGTCTTACGTGGTGACTGTTATTACGTCAGAGGTTCGACTGTACTGTACTCGGAGTGGCTGAGTAACTCTTCACACACAAGTGAAAGCCGCCTCGTGTACGCTCTTTGCCCTCATCAGTAAGGCAAAACTGGACGAGTACTGCGCGACAAATACAAGTGAGTAAGTATTGCGTGCTTTCAAATTTCAAATCGACACACGTGTGATGCAAGTCAGGTCAATGCACGTCGACTTTTTTCAAAATTATCTACCGGTAGTTCGTACACCGAATTCATGCGGAACAACATGTAGATGAACGTCGCCTGGGTGAATGCTCGCAAACTGTTGCTCCAATGTTTAAAAAAAAAAAAAAAAAAGAATACGCTTGCTGCTGAAACAACCGGGTAGCCTCGTGTTTGAACAACGTAGCCACCTGGGGAAACCTGTTCTCGTTCGGGGTCCATGAAATCAGCCAGCAACACCGAGGTCATCAGCCACGAGTCAATGTGACACTCTCAATGTCGTTTGGGAGAAATTAACCAGTCAACTGGTCTGTATAACTCCTACGAGTGAAGTGCTAACAAATTGCATTCAATCATGTGTCGTCGTACTCGTAACAGCTGTCCTGTAAGTATGCCATTTTTTTCCCCTCATGTGTAGGAAAGTCATCCGGTAGTGGATGGCTAGTCAATGTGACACTCTCAATGTCGTTTGGCAGAAATTAACCAGTCAACTAGTCTGTATAACTCCTACGAGTGAAGTGCGAACAAATTGCATTCAATCATGTGTCGTCGAACTCGTAACAGCTGTCCTGAAAGTATGCCAATATTTTTCCTCATGTGTAGGAAAGTCATCCGGTAGTGGATGGCAGTATAGGTAGATGGCAAATATTTCACTTGACCTTACTTCTTCTCGTGTCTACAAAGGCTGAAGTGAGCTTACCGAGGACATCGCGGGAACACAACTTGAGGCGACCGGCTGCAAAGCGCAAACTCGATTGGAGTCCTCGCGCTTGGAAAACGAATCTCATCGGCTTTTCCGCTCTCATTAGGAACATGTCCCCCGCGCCGACCACCCGTGAGCAGGACTTCAAACCGCCAGACGGTGGCTGGGGTTGGATGGTCGTGATCGGGGCGCATATCTCCATTGGCTTTTCCTACGCGACGCCCAAAGCCCTCTCCATTTTCTTCAAGGATATCCAATTGGACTTGCAAGCCGGCTACAGTGAGATCGCGTGGATCTCTTCCATCATGTTAGCAGCCATGTATGCTGGAGGTGAGTTGACCCGCTCAGGCGTCGTCCCTCCAGCTTTGCTGTCAAAGAATAACCAAATGTATTTGGCATTTGTATTTGATCAGATAAAGCATAAGCCCTAGAAGGGGCGGGGGGGGGGTCATCTGAGAGTCATTCACTAAATAAGGTGAATTTTTCGGGAAAAAGAATTTCAAAGACAGATGGAAGCCTCCAACAATTTTGACTTCATGGTCACTTTCAAACTTGGCGCCTCTCGTGAAGGCTTTGACGGGTGCAAGTCTGAAGGGGCAACGTCTGGGCTGGAAGGAGGATGAAGGAGCAGTTCCCAGCCCACCTCGTTGATGGTCTGCACCGTTTGGGCTGCTGCGTGAGGCCTTGCGGTGTCACGCTGCAACATGACCCTTCTGACTGTTGATGCCTGCGTTTGTTCTTGACGTGCCTCAGCAGATCGCAGTAGTTGGCACCAAGTTTCAAAGTGACGATGAAGTCACACGTTTTGTGAGCGCCATCGGTCCAAAGATTTTTACGCTGAGGGAATATGGATGCTTGGGCAGGGATGGGAAAATGTTTTCGAAGTCCTTGTACTGAAAAAATTCTCCTTATTTATTGAATGACCCTCGTTTCGAGCAAAAAAGTGAAGTGATTGAGCACAATCGCTATAACATCGGTCCAAAGATTTTTCCGCTGAGGGAATTATGGATGCTTGGGCAGAGATGGGAAAATGTTTTCGAAGTCCTTGTACCGAAAAAATTCACCTTATTTATTGAATGACCCTCGTTTCGAGCAAAAAAGTGAAGTGATTGAGCACAATCGCTATATTTGGCCGTCCCTAAGCGGCCACGACCTGTTATCACGTGAAGATTCTCCACCGGGCAAGAAATTGCAGTCGCGTGAGCTCCTTAGGACATGTCAAATTGATAAGTGTCTCCACATGACTGGGTGCATTCATTAGCTTTCAAGTAAGAAGGCCGCCTCGCTCGCTCTCTCATCCATTCCTTTTTCTTATTTGAGACTCTGCCGAAAAGTGAAATGATTTCTAAATATGATAAAGAGTGCGATAGAAATGAAAAATAATATTGTGAGCGGAGAACCCATTCACATCCGCGACTTGGCCTTGTTTCTTTTGGGTTTTTTTTTTTTTTTTAACTGAGTGCATTCATTAGCTTTCAAGTAAGGAGGCCGTCTCGCTCGCTCTCTCATCCATTCCTTTTTCTTATCTGAGACTCTGCCGAAAAGTGAAATGATTTCTAAATATTATAAAGAGTGCGATAGAAATGAAAAAAAAAATTGTGAGCGCAGAACCCATTCACATCCGCGACTTGGCCTTGTTTATTTTGGGTTTTTTTTTTTTTGAAAGATGGAAAGAGCTTGGCGCATGTCAAAATGAAAGGAGCAATCAGTCGACTGTTTTTTTTTTGTTTGTTTTTTTCGAGAATTCATGGAGCTGTGCTCAAAGTTGGCCCATAAAAAAAGTCTCTGCCTCACCCGACCTCAACTCAGAGAGGCCAAACTGGTGAAACCCGCCTATTTAAAATCGCATACTCAGTTTAAATTCATCTCTCCTTTTATCATTTCTAATTTTATTTGTGGTTTTATTGTTCTTGTTTTGATTGTAAAGTGTCCTTGAGTGTTTTGAAAGGGGCTTAGAAATGAAATGTATTCTTATTATTAAATGTGGGCCCGATCTGAAGCTTAGGCGACGGATTCATCGTCGGATTTTGTGCGTAAGGTTGTCTACGAATGGCTGTTGCGTGTTTGCTTGCGGCCTCCCGTCTGTGTTGGCGAGTTGTGCCTAAGCGGTCCTCGGGGGGTGTTTGCATAGGAACGCGTTTGCAGCGTTTCCGCTTCGACAACCGCTAAACTTTGCCGATACGGTCCACTGGTCCATCTCCGACCAGAATGCTCAGACCTGGAGACGGCTTCTTCCCGCAAGTCGTTGCTGCGCTCCACTGACAAGAAGAAGACGCATTTCTCACTTTGCTGCTCCTTTCACAATTCATCATGTGTGATTGTAATGTTGTAGTATCTGTTCCGTACTGTCAGCGAAGCGTTTCCCTTCGATTTATTCTATTCAGATGGTTAAATCGTGCATTAGCAACCATGCGAGCAAAATTCATCAAGAAGGTCATCGTGTTGACGACGGACGCAATTTTCTCTTCTCATAATTGCGCAGGACCAGTGAGCAGCGCGTTGGTCGATCGCTACGGAAGCCGACCGATCGTCATCCTGGGGGGCCTGATGTGCGGGGCCTCCATGGTCGCCGCTTCCTTTGGGAACTCCATCGTCTACCTTTACTTATGCATCGGCGTCATTGCAGGTACACTCCTCTGCTCCCGTTTTCAACATTTGTATTTATTGTTGGCTTCGTTCGTAAGGTATTCGTTCGACTAGTTTGTTGTGCTTTGGGTACATGACGTCTTTTCGCTTCCTCACCCCCCCCTCTTTTTTTTTTTTTTTTTGCTTTTTGACTCGATAGCTTTTTGCTTTCAGGGTGCCCGTTCCGGCGACTGAGGGGAGGCAGCCATGTGCTCAAAGTGGAGCATGACCAGGACTGTGCATAAGCCCCTCCCCCCCACCCCCAAGGGTCCCGCAAAGCATGGCATAAAGTGGCCCGCCGGTGTGCTACTCAGCCTTTTTATCCGGGTTGTCCCGTGGGCCTTCTTTAGTGGCTCATTACCCACCCAAGGACAACTTTGTCGGGATGAATACATGCGGCATTTGGTCCCGCGTGTCATACCGGCGGGCACTCGTGGCCCGCTCTTGCACCCGAACGCGACGGGGCTCTTTTCGCTTGCACGTACGGAAGCCTGAAGGTGTGGTCCACTCAGCTGTTCGGCAGTTGATGATTGAATTGGCAAAGTTTGCTCAAGCTATCTGTGTTCCGGTCGCCACGGGTCAGGTCCTGGGCGGGCCGCTATCCTGCACGTTTTTGACCATCGTTCTCGGGGTTCCTCAATTCATGCACGTCGGCGAGCGAGGGCGGCTCGCTTCCGAATGTTGCGACGAACGTTCCGACGAGTTATTCCTGAACAAGGACGGCGTCACACTTCACGTCAGTCGTTGGGATGCGTTGGCGGAAGGCCTCCGTGGTGCCTCCACTTGGAATAATAGCGGCGGAGGCACCCGAAGGCCGACAGTTTCCCCTTTCATGTTTTTGTCAGAGGCCAAATTTTCTTGGGAAGGGACGAAAGGTGTTTTCGCCCTCCTCTGTTTTGTGAGATTTTTGGTTTTGTTTGCCCCCCCCCTGTCCTAGCCTCTCCCATTCCATTTTTTGCTTGCTGGGTCTCCGTTTGCGATCGTGTCATGACCGTTGAGAACGAACTGACTCGGACGAGCGAGTATCAACATTCGCGGGCAGGATAATCTCTTATCGTGGCCTTCGGAAGCAATAACATGTCCACGTACTTTACCAAGTACGTTCCTGAATTTTATTTATTTTTTTTAGGTGTTGTGACCATGAGAAGATTGTTTTGGCTTCATGCGCGTTGATTTTCGCCGCCCCTTTTTGTCTCCACACAGGCTGCGGACTGGCCTTAAACCTGAACGCATCTCTCACCATCATCAGCAAGTATTTTCTGGCCAAGCGTCCGTTGGCCAACGGTCTGGCGATGGCGGGGAGTCCCGTTTTTTTGTGCTTCTTGGCACCTTTTAATCAATATCTACTGGACAAGTTTGGCTGGAGAGGAAGTTTTCTCATCCTGGGCGCGGTGATGCTGCACTGTTGTGTCGCCGGGGCCTTGATGAGACCCGTCGGGTCCCGGAATCCGCCGCCGACCAAAGTGGAGGAGCGACCCGATGACGGCGAGCGACGGAAGCCCGGCTGCGAGGGTCGCGCCAAGAAGATCGTGGATTGGTCCTTCTTCAAAGATCGAGCTTTTGTGATCTACCTCATCGGGAACATCATGTTCATTTTTGGCGCCTACGCGCCCATCATGTTCCTGTCGGCCTACGCCGTCAGTCGCGGCGTCGACAAGTACTCGGCGGCGTATCTGCTCTCCATTATGGGCTTTGTGGACATGTTTGTTCGCCCCGGCACCGGCCTGATTGCCAACAGCAAGTGGGTCCGACCCCGAGTGCAGTACTTGTTCAGCTTCGCCGTGGTCTTCAACGGCACCTGCCATTTACTCTGCCCGCTCATCAAGAACTACACCTTCTTGGTGATCTACGCCGTATTTTTCGGCGTGGCTTTCGGCATGGTTTTCGCTCTCATCTTTGAGTGCCTGATGGATCTGATGGGACCTCGACGCTTCCCTCGCGCCGTCGGACTGGTCACCATCGTTGAGTGCGTCCCCATGCTGCTGGGACCGCCCACCGCAGGTAACGACCGATACGAGAATCCGCTTCCGGCCCCGATTCGGTGACCTCGTGACCGGTGTCGCATGATTGACGTGGTTGGGCGTGCGTGTGACTGTGGTTCACATGATGCAATTCCGTTCTAATCTCGTTTTCACATGTGACATGCGAGCCGGGGGGAAAAAAGCAACAGCGCGTGGAATTGGATGACCTCGGCTCCTCGCAAGGTTCGATTTTGGAAACCCAAAGTGTTTCCCAACCTCGATTGAGCCAAAGCGCATATTTGACATTTCGCTGGTTTTGGGCCCAATCTTCGCGCCTCCGAAAAATGTTTTTTTTTGTTCAAATGTGAACATGGCATCGTTAAAGAGAGCGAGGCATTTTCAACGCTTTAGATTGGTCACTCATTTGTAAAATAACCACCAAAAAAAAAAAAAAAACCCACATGGAGTCATCACCAATAGTGTAGATTTGTCAGAAAAATACAAAATTAAGTCAAAATTGTCTGGGCCGATGCAATGAAAAAATTGAATTGAGGTGACTTTGTTTGACGAGCTTTTTGCTTTGGCTGTTTAACGATGCTCGATTCGGTCCGCTGCCCGTCAGTGCGCCCGCCCCCCTATCCGATGCTCGAAAAGGCGACGACGCCAGATGGAGCCCATTAAGGCTTTGCCAAACAAAACCCCCTCTTCGTGCGGAGGGTGGCCACCCGCGGACATTCACCATATGACGGCTATCGCTCACAGCGGCGCGACCGCCGCTGTGACGGGTGAAGGTGCTCCAAATACACAGTTGCCCGTTTTGGAGAGAGAAAAAAAAAACAGCGCACGAAATGCCCTCTTGTAAAGTCACGTCATACGGTTGGACCGTTGGAGCCTCCCCAGCTCCTTTCCCACAATCACGCAAATGGACGATTTTGTCCTTTTTCAGCCAACTTCTCTCGTGGCTGATAGAAGGAACTCTCTTCTGATTGGTTTTGCCGGCAGCTGTCAAAATGGCCTTCTGGGAGGCTCTTTTTCCAATGTGCCGCCTCTCAAATGAACCTTTTTCTGTTTCTCCCTCGATCGCACGCGCCCGTTTGGCGGGACAGGTCTTGCGTCGTACCGCTTGCGCGCTCGTTCCAAAGTGTTTTTATCCTTAACGGAAAAAAAATATATATAAGTTGTCGCTTCTGCGTATGTGTGGCTTCTGATTTCAAATTCCATTTCTGATTTCATCTGGTTTGATTCCCTTCCAGCGTTGCTGGTGGATATCTACAATGACTACCAGTACCTCTTCTTCTTGTGCGGCGCCGTGATCGTCAGCGGCGGGATCTTCCTTTTCGTCATGAACTTTTACAACTATCGCAGGCTGGAAAACGAGAGGGCCGGGCTGCCCAAGCCGAACGACGGCGTCGGCCAGGACCGGGTCGAGATGCAAAACGCACTCGATCTCGGCTTTTGCCCAAAGGAGTCTGCCGTGCCCGAGAGCGGAGATGGCGGTGAGCCAACGATGGGCGGAAAGACGCCATCGATCCCTCCTCATTTCTGCGTCTCCAATCTGCATCTCCCCGATGCACCGCAGGAAAACGGGGGGAGCTCGCCTCCTCCCAACTATTTTGCCCTTTAGTCGGACGAGTCCCAATGCTGTTCATCTTCCCGATGATTTTCATGAGCTGCAAGTAGCGGGCAAGGCTCGCGTTTCTGTCAAGTTGAACGTTTACATTTGAAACACCAGTTTGCCAATACCGCCGCACGGTTGCGCAAACGGTGGGCGGGTATAAGATGATGTTTACATTTTTCAGGGACAGCCAACGGAGCGCTTTCCCGGACCAAAGTGGTGCTGAGCTTGAATAATCCAATCCAATACTACGGAGCCCCAGACATGACATTTGAAAAAGGCGAAACAAAACTGCTTTGTGCACACGCTGCAGCTACGATGGACGCACCGGGAACTATTTTGTGGGTGCCAACTACTACTTCCTGCGCATGGATTACTACGTCGCGCGCGCAACATACCTACGCAGGAAGTAGCCTGGGCTCCTTGCGGGTCACTCGAATCAGAAAATCGAAGCCACCTTCTTTCAAAGTTGAAAGGTTGAAGGAAAGCGACATCATAGACAGAGACGGCGTGATCCAAATTTCTTTTAGGCTCCGGATGAGTTCCGAGGATATCGTGAAAAGCTCGGTAGAGCGAGGAATCCTCATCGCCGAGAGACCTTTGACGAGGCTGTTGAGAGCCAAGCTTGCTTGATGACATCACCGTTGCTCAGGTCACAACCCATCGTGGCCCAGCCTCAGAAAAGAAAAGAAAATGGAAGATCGTCTCGTCAAGACCATTTTGGTGTTCTACCCTCCCCCCCTTTTCAAGCTCACAATTTTCCTCACTGGGACAGCTGCTCCAGCGTCCAAATGAGCTATTTTCAAGTACCAAGTACAACTTTATTGTCAAATTTTGTTCCAAGCTCCATTTTGAAAAGCGTGCCTTTTTGACATTGCAGTGAATGAACGTTGCAGTCAAAGTTTTAATGACACACTGGATCCTAATTTGCTGTCCCGTACATCGGAGTGTGAAACGCATTTTTTTGTCGCCGGTCACATTGTAGTGAGCGTTTCCCTCGGAGGACCGTTGGGACCGAAACCATATGAAGAAGTCAAGAATAACGGTTTGATCGGCTATTGTCCAAACTACTGTCATGAGGGGTTTTGCTCAGCAGAAAATGCTCTCTCTTATTTATGATACCGGAAAATGTGACATTTTGGGGGAAGATTTTATCAAGCGTCGTGGAAGTGGATGTGTTTGATTTGCTTTCGCGGGCCACATCTGGTTCCATCCGCTGGGTGAGACTTGACCGGGGAGTGAATGCGCACCCAAACCAATGCGATCAACAACTGTGATCCAAACAGCTTTGCATTTTGGGCACTGGCCATCGTGTCCGTCACGCTCGGATGGCGTGTTCCCGGCGTATGGCGTCGTCGGGTCATTTGGGATAGCGTCGATGACCTCCGGGACTTTGGCTCCCGCAACTTCTTCGGCGAACGCCTTCCTCTGTGTTTACGTGGCCGTTTGCTGCCGGCGTTGCGCTCAGCCGTCCCGCTTCACTTTTGAGACGGTGTTTCTTTCCCAAACACAACTTGAATGTTTTCTCCATTCTGACGTTATCTTTGTCAAACTGCTGTTTTTGTTTGCGTCAGTGACCGGACGGTGAACGATAAGCCTCGAGTCTGTCCAAATGGATTTGACTCAAAGCACACGTTGGGTTGCCAAACGGCAACATGAAAATGGATGCTGTCCAGACGTGGTGTGTTTGATATTGTATATCAAGTGATTGCCTCTCAATCTGTATCGGAATCTGAGCCTCATCCCCACATCCCTCATTGTCTAATCAGAGGCGACAAAGCCATGTTCAGTGTTCATGTCTTCAAAAGGCTGCGTGAAATAAAATCAAATGAAGTGAAACGGCATCGAATCAACGCCGTCTTTTTGCCGTGTCCAATTTTTCACCATTATGAGGCTCGGGGACACGTTTGGGAATGTCGGCAACTTAAGGGCACGAGCAACTCATGAAGCGAAGCCTCCTCGTTTTGGGCCGGGGCTCGTCGGCGTTAGTCTAAGCGGGCCACGAAAGCACAGACGTGCGCGTCAACGACCGCGCTGCGCATTTTCAGTGCCGTGCTGGGACTTCAAGCATGACGAGGTGCGCAGGAGTTACAATCGCACTGTTTTACTTGCACTTGATGCATTCCAAAATAACAGTCTGCCTCGACTAAAAAGTCTCTGCACCCGAGTTCAAATGCCATTGTTCTTGTGATGTGAAAAAAAAGAAAGACTAAACTTTACAGGTGGCACGGTGGACGACGGTTTCGAGCGCTCGCCTCACAGAGCAGATGTGCAGGGTTCGATTCCCACCTTCCTGTGTAAAGTTTGCCTGTTCTCCCTGCGCCTGCGTGGGTTTTCTGCGGGTTCCGCGGTTTCCTCCCACATTCCAAAAACATGCGTGGCAGGCTGATGGAACACTCGAAATTGTCCCCTGAATGGTCGTTGGTCTCTATGTGCCCGGCGATTGGCTGGCGACCAGTCGAGGGTGTCCATCGCCTACTGCCCGAAGACGGCCGAGATCGGCTCCGGCGCATCCCGCGACCCTCCTGAGGATCAGCGGATTAGAAAATGGATGGATGGACGGATGGATTTTGTGTCTTTGCAACGAGTCATGATCTAACTGAGAAGTGACTCAAGATGAAGGGAACCTTAAAAGAAAAAAAAACAGCCCACGAAGGAAGAAGACATCAATCAGCCCCATATGTTAACGACGGTGCTCCAAACCACGTCTGAAGATCAAGTTTGAAACCAGTCAAAACTCGATCCCGCTGAAGCCAAATAGTGTCGTTGACTTCTCTTGCACGAGTGGCGCGATATGCAAGATGAGAGACGGGCCCCCCCGTGTTGACGATCTGCCTTTCTCCCGACCTTTGCGTCTGTAAGCATCACATCGGGCTTGTTTACAATTGGCGGGCGACCCGATGAAAGGGAAGCAGGCGCTCTGAGACGAGCGGCGGCGGCGGGGGGCTCCCGCGGGGCTCAAAGAGCAGCGCCGTCTATCAGGAGAAGAAATTGAACGGCATTTGGAGAGCAACTCAGATGAGATAGGCCCCGAGTGTTGAACAAGCACAAGATGCGCCGGGGTCATGCCCCCCCCTCCCCCTTCGCTGGGATGAGATCAAATTTACAGAACTCCGTGGAACAGGCGCACACAAGTCCGGCCTTTGGGGCCAAAGTCAAGATTTGATGTTTTTGTTTGCTTTTTTTTTTCCTCTTCAAGCGAAATGGGTGCCTTGGCTCAATGAAGCTTGCAAAACACGCTTGCAAACTGTTGCAAACTCTCTCCCCTTTAGCAGCACGGTGTGTGTGTGTGTGTGTGTGTGTGTGTGTGTGCGTGTGTGTGTGTGTGTGTGTGTGTGTGTGTGTGTGTGTGCGTGCGTGCAATTCCCCACGACTGGTGAGCAATTTTTCACATCGGCCCCGGTGGTTTCTCATGCAGTCCGAAACCTCCTTATTTCTCCCCGTCGTTGCTTCTCCCAACTTCCAGTTCACCACTTGCTCTCATTTTCCTCTGTCTGTGCTCCCCTGACGACTGAGACGGCAAACCGAATCTTTTCATCTGATGTTAAAAAAAACAACAACCCTGATGTCCCGTTGCACCGGATTGAGACATTCCTTGAAATATTTGGGCCGCATCTCCAAATATACTCCCAAAAGCAAGCTCAGACACGCCATTCTCCACCTCTTAAGATTTTGTACGCAGATGCGGCGGGGCTCACTCGGTGTGCCAGACCGATGTCCGGGTGGCTCATTTTAATGGCCAACATATGGAGGGAGAGACAGATGAGAGGCGCGTCTGCTGACTCGCACGTCCCATTGACCCCCCCACCCCCGGCCCCGCGCCACAGCGGACCACACCGGAAGACACCGCCGTCCAGCAGGCCTGACGCAAATGTGCACTCCCACACCTCGCTCTGACAAATGCACGTACAGTCAAACCTCGGTTTTCGACCAAAAATTTCGATTTTTTTTATGTCTCGGATGACGACCAAATTTCAGATCTCGAACAAACTGAGCGAACTTGAATGCGTCACTTGACTCCTCTCCTTTCCTTACAAGAGGAAGTGACGATTCCTCGTGTAGCATTCCATTGTGATCAGACGTGTTCAATAAAGATTTTTTTTTTTTAAAGAGCGTGGTTTCGGTTTTCGAACAATTCGGTTTTCGAACAGCCTTCTGGATTGGATTATGGTCGAAAACCGATGTTTGACTGTATATCGGTTCACTAGTCAGTCCCAGCTGTGCACACGCAAAGCATTTTATCGCATGAAAAAAAAAATTCTGTGAAAGAGTTTCGAACTACTTTTTGGGAATCCAGTCGCTCGTTGGCGACTTGCGGCACCGAGAAACGTGCCGAAACGGTCTCGTACTTTTTCAGTGAGCGGAGCAAGACTGTTTTGCTCTCTGGTTGTCACGGTAACGCTTGCAGAAGTTGGACGCCGTGTTCCGCATTTGAATGCTGCGGTCGCATGCAAGGAAGGCGCCGCAATATACCTTGCAACTTCCTTCCATATTACGCCCCTTTTTTCTCGTTTCTTTGGTTCGGGCGGAGAAAAACGATGCAGAAGTTGTTGCGGGCACGGCCCACACGTGGAAGCGACTCAATGGCATCGGCCGCGAGAAGGAGGCCATTCGTTCGTTGGGCCAAAGCGGAAAGGCCGCTTGACGACCTCCGGATGTCAGACGCCGCATTCGCTTGAATCACACACGCACTCGTGTTGGGTGGAGGGTAGAAAGGGGGGGGCACTGCGGCGACGGCGTCCACGCTCCAGTGTCACCCAGAGGAGCGCTCATTTCTCCCCTCGCTGCCGTGTTGGGATTTGGAAGGTGCTTCGACAGCCGATTGATTGCCGGGTGACTTTGGCAAACAGAAGTGAGCGGCATCTGCTCGCGCCGTGAAGCCAGCTGGGCGTGCCGCTTAAGCGTGCGCGTGGGGCGCGGAGGCCATTGACTCGCGCCAGGACTGCGCTGCCGGGACCTCATTTAGCCTGCGCGCTCGAGGATGACCGTGGGACGCGAGCGTGTCGTCGTGCCCGAAAGCTGGTTGGAGTCGTCAAAGGATGACCGTGGGACACGCTCGCGTGTCGTCGTGCCCGAAAGCTGGTTGGAGTCGTCATCAGGTTTTTTTTATTTTTTAAATCTAACAAACGATGGCTCACCCAAATCAACGAGGAATGCCTTTTAGCCAACCCTCCTTGGTAATATGGGATCAATGACGTCATTCAAGGAGAGGCAAATGACAGAAAGAAGCGATGTGCCGACAGCCGATCACATCTTCAAGATGTCATCTTGGTCAATTGCCTCCCCGCATCTTGTTTAAGATTGAATAGCATCAACTTCCAGGAGGCCCACGCACAGTTCTTAGCCCGGGGTGGCCGCCCCTGTGCCCGCCCGAAAGCTTTTGCGAGGAGAATTGGAGTTCCTCCGGCGTCGGAGGTCCTGAAATGTCTTCGTGGATATGGATGAGGAAAACCCCGCTGTCATCTCTCATTCCGAACAGCGCGACCTCGTCTTCGGTGAGCTGCTTCTCCGGCGTCAGACTGCAATGCGGGCGGGCCACCCCCCGGCAAGTGATTGATGACATTTTTTCAGGAGCAACGCCGAACCAGAGCCAGTAATTGGCACAGCGCTTTGTGTTTCTTTTTTCTTTTTTTTTTGTCCTCATTATTTCTCATCCTCGGCGCGTTTGATTTCGATCCCTCCTCACCCACCGGCAAATGATTTCAGAAAGCCGCGGTGGCAGTCGGTGGGTTGAACGTCTCAGGCCTGCAGAAGAATGACGCAGATTCGCCAGCAGAGGTCAGTGGTGCTCCGTTGATCAAGTGAAGGCCCGCTTTTCGCATGTCCCTTACGTCACTTCCGCTTTCGGAGTCGTCACCCTCTTTGGATCGCACCGGAAGCGTTGCATCCGAGTCCTTCTTGCCTCGCGAGTCAAACGGCAACGGCGAATCGTCATTCTCTCTCCCGAAGGCTGGACAGACTTGAGCTAATCTGAACAACAAGTATGGTCTGGGGGGGGGGGTCGATCGGTTGCCAGGACAACTCGGATCGACTATTTATTTGAAGTTTTTTTTTTTTTGTGTGTGTGTGAAAGTGTGTTTGTTTCCATACGAACCTTGATAATTCACCGTTTTTCTTTCGATCGTTTCAAGTGATTATTTGGGAGGGGTTTCTGAAAGATGACTTCCGGTTTGAGATCAAGTATGCCG